GAATTCGACTCTGGTCAATGGACCTTGTCAGTCGACCAATTATTCCTTTCTGGCTCTCCCGTGGGTCGTTGGTAATGGAGTCTGGTTCAGTTAAGTCCCCCATCTTCTGATGGTCCTCAAGAACACTCAGAATGTGAAGGTAAAGTTGATGATGCTAAGGATAATCATGGAAGCCAAGTCATTTGACGCGTGAGGCTCATTCACAACACTTGAGTCTTGCTGAACTCTGAGCTACTTTAACGAAAGCTGCTCACCGAAAGAGAAAGCCACCGCGACAAGAAGTGTTCTAATGAGCCCGCACCGACCCCTAGTCCACGGAAAATTTTTGCGCCGGCTTAGGGGACCCGCGTCTGATTCTCGTCGAGCTCGCGTTGGACCCGTCTAGAAACCAAAGAGCTCCACTGTCCCGAGAGATCACGCGGGGAAATGCCATCATGCGACAAGGCAGTGTAGATCCTATTCTCGATACGGAACGAGGTGATGCCATGACGGGGACGGCTTCGCAGAACTTGGAAAGCAAGTTAAACGGCGAAGCTGCGGTTTTTCTCCTCTCTTTTCGTGGTCGGATCGCTGAGGCGGATCGAGCAATAAACTGTCACCACTCTCTGACATGAGCAAGCAAGAAGCTCGGCTTACCAGAAAAAAAGGTTTCGGAGGATTTTTGTTCTGTTTAGTCAGTCAGTCAGATAGTCATTCATCAATCCACCACCCATCTGCTCGGTCGGGAAGGATTTTATTCTTCTCCGTGCACTCACTCGGCTTCTTATTTCAAGAGAATCGTGAACTCAAACGGTGGTTAACCTCATCGCCCGTCAATGGGAATCTTCAGCGGAGCAATTCATCCGAGTCGGGATCGGGTTTTCCGTCACCCTTGATTTGGGGCCACTTTGTTCTCCAGAGCTTCCTTACCTCTTCTAAAGAGCTCCTTGAGCTCATTGAGAGTTTTAGCGACCAACTCATAGATTATCAGCGCTCTCGCTCTGATCCTCTTCGCGATTTTCGAGACGACGCCGGCGGCTGCCTTGATCTTTGATTCCTCGAAGCTGGACGAGTCGTCATCACTGTTCGCTTTTTTCTTCCTCTTCTTCTCCCCTTTATGACTCTCGTCACTCTCCGACTTCCTCTTCCGATCCGAACTCTGGTTCATCAAATCCGTGAACACGCGCATGACCGATTCCTCTGAGAGCGGTAACGGCTGCCCGTGTAGAGCTGAAGCACTAGGTTTCCTATAGCGCGATTGGGAATTATATCACAACAGATCTCGTCAACATAGGATCATGTAAGCTACCGGACCCAGAAAGAGCGAATGTCTACGCAGCTCGGAGGCACGCCCTAGCCTCCTATGCTCCGGTTCCAGACACAACGAAATTGACATTTTTCGTTATTTTCATTTTATGAGGAGTAATTCCACCATCTTGTTGCCGCCGATCGATTCGCTCCGATGCGTGACCCTCCCGCTCCCAAAAAAGGATCCGGTGGAGCTTTGTTGATGTTCGCTCTCTGCGCGAAAAATTCCGAATATTGGCACTCTGCGACCGAGCGCCGGCGTCGCGATAGGCAACAGGCCGATACATCCTCTCCGAGAACGAAAAGTGAGGGGACCTTTCCGGGCCTCCGAGTTTCCGTTCTTCTTACCCATAAGAACAGCGGCAGAGGGAATGACAACAGCAAAGACGAGAATACTATTAAGTCAAGCTCAAGTTGTTCCAAGTCAGTGACGGACTTCAACAACAGAAACCAACGGGTCGCTGCCACAACTACTCTGCTCTGGTGATCGCTGAACATCGGAACCTAGATCCGTTCGGCTTGTGAGTGAAAACGAACCCTCCAAGAAGGTAGATATCACCACTCGGGGTCGCTTCGATGTTTTTCCCCATTTGCGCTGAGGGGAATTTGACACATTGTCCGAGATGTGACGAGCTGCTCTGAAAGAGTATGCTGCTCACTCGGGACGAGATAGATAATTTTTCCCTGATACCTCAGCGGCTTGACTCCTTGCGTGTCCCATAGTCGTTCTACATGTATCGGGACAGAAAGATACACAATGCCGCATAATGCCAGATCCCACCAGGCCTTGTGGGGTCGAAGACACCGGGTAAGCCATCACTTATACGTTTTCACGGCTGTATTCGAATTCAAACGGTGGTGACAAGTCGCTTCAGTGGTGACAGCGATCGAGCCGGTTCAACCTCCTCGCAGAGCCGTCGACTAGTGTCGGATGCATCTCCAGTCGGATCCCTGATCTGCGCCTCGTTCCCAGAAACCCACTTGACAAGCTCGACGGGGACGCCAACGATGACAGCGACAATGTTGGCGCAGAACAGTATTCAGCCCGGCGGAGTCGTGGCATCTATTCAACTGTTACAAAAACGATTCGAATTGCTGGGAGCTGACTCACGAATAGCGTTTAGAACTCTATGACCATCGGTGTGATTACGAAACAATTCCAAACACGTTACGTACGGCCCTCTCGTGACATTTAACAGCGTAACATTCTGATAAGACTGGTGGACGTGAGCTAATCGCGTGGCGTGACTTGACGCAACGCGAGAACAAGGAGGCTGCGTTCATACCTCGGAAGAAAAGTACGGAACATGCAGCAGTGAAACTATGAGAGCTTGTTACGACCCTGCAGCACAACCCCGCTGAGATATTGAGCCCGCATGCTATTTAAACTTCACGAGCTCACCGACTTCATCTTCCGACCCGCGCTGCCATCGACGTGGTCTTCGCCCGTCTTCTTCGGTGGCATTATTATCCGAATCCGTTTCCAACATTTGACGAAACAAGGAATAAACCAAAGACAGTGCCGTCGACGGGACGTTAATAGCGTCGAGAAAACCAAAGTAGTTTCTCTCCCAACGCTGCCGCCACTGTTCCGGTATCATAATAGCCCGATGCCGTCTTTGTTTATGAAACTAAGAAAACTTGGCGGAAGTATTCAAAGCGCCGCTCCAGCCTTCACCTCATCTTGAACAAACGAGAAGTTTCGGCCTCTTTACCGTATCCTTGAATCCCGACCTGGATCGCAGAAGAGCGTCGAGCAGCTTCTCGGCTTTGCAGCTGGTTCCTGTGAGCGATCGGAACTCGGTTGAGACTCGATTGGAACTCGAACAGGATTCGGATCCTCCAGGTTGCAGACCCCACGAGTCTACGTAGCGTCGTCACGCCATCTCACGGCCCGAAAGTGGCGCTTGACTCTACGCAAATGCTGCGTATTGTTTCTCAGCGTGATTTCCGAGACGATCGGATCGCCTCATCGTAGGACATCCGCCCCCAAAGCATGTTTTCATCGTACTTCATGTCGAATGTGCCGCGAACGTTTCTTCCACCTGTGCGTGTCCGTGTGAACAGAATACCGTTCGTTTGACCGCGGAACAGACCACCCGACCAGTTGCTGGCCGGCTCCCCCCACCCGCCTGCTTGTTCTCTCGCCAGATTGCCTGCTCGTCGGACCACGGCCGAGCGGAGTACTGACCCGAGTCTGTTGTTTAAGTAGTAATGATGAGAGAACGAATGCTGATGACAACCCGCGAATCTGCCGAAGCCGCGATAAGTGCCCGACGTCGACTGTTTCTGTTCGACGGTGACCTGTCATCGGTCCCGAACGCTCAAACAACAGCCCTTTCAGCTACCGCAATGACCGCCGTCGTCGTGGTTGATAATTACGGACGGACTCGCAACAGCATCGGAATGCCTACCCGAATTCCGAACGAAGTGATCCCTGCGTTTCCCCTGGAGCTGGGGGCTCGGGATCTCTGAATCGAAGGGAACGGAAGCGCTTGATGCCCTTTCGTGGGATGATGCTTGCGTTGTCACTCTGAAGATGCGTGAAGCGATGACACAAAAAAAAACTCATCGACGATTCCGAGGGAGCTCCGCGCGCACGACGCGACGCCGGTTATCGCTAGCGCGAGAGATAGGTACATCCGAGATAAGACCAATCAACAAACGAGGCTTTTTGTTTGAACGGAATCGTTTGTTCGCCGAAGCTTAGCCAAACAAGGGGCTTGCGAAAACCTGTCCGTCAGCAGAAGAATCCGACGTAGATAAGGACGGAACAAAAAAAAACAACGGAAAGCGATCGATACGTCGCCGGCGAAACTTTGAAAAATATTGCCAGTGCAGAGTGTCAACCCGGGCCGGGCGCGGGCAGCTCCGCTCACGTGCGACTGCTTCCCAAACCGTGACGAGCGCTCGTCTCACGCTTGTTCCAATGAATGAATGAAAGTTGTCCAGCTATGAATTTTACTTCGGGTTTCGTGATTTGAAGCAATGTCCGCATAACACCATCTATCCAACCGACAGGCGTTAGCGGAAAGCTTTGGGGAAGTACGGTGTCAAGAATCTAAGATCCGAATTTCGCAATGGGACTCAACAGGTTAGAGGAAACCACGAAGATTGCGCTCGATGAGTTGGGCCCCACCTTCACCGTTCTTCCTCCTCCTTCTATAATCGATTCTAATTTCGGACTGACTAACACTGATCTGAGTCTTCCTCGTTGTTCCGAATGGATTCTCCTGGATCAGACGATGCTCGATGCCTTGGATCTAACACTCAGGATCTTCTGTACTTCGATCCTACTATACATTGAAAGAGACGCATGGAAAGAGAGGGTCTCGATTCTTGAGTCCTCTCGTCGATCACGATCGAGAAGCATGGAAAGCAATCGCATCGTAGACTTCAGAGGAAGGGGAAAGCCAGAGAAGCTTCGGAGAATTCAGGTCGAGGAGGAACACCTCAGAATGCTTCGTCTGGCAACGGTCCCATCCCTCGAGCCATGTCGTCTCCTCTGTTGGCGGCGCTAGCGGCTCCAAGCCGGACTGTCGAACAAATTCAAATGAGCTTCCGTTCCACTCCCGAATTTTGAAGCTACAAGCCGAAAATTCGCTGCGTGTTCAAGAGAGGGCGAGCATGACCGCATGTCATCATCGTAAGCGAGCGTAGTTTGTTTACAAGATCGGCGTGTGACTCGATTCTACGATGAGCTCCATTTGCAGAACGCTGTTGAAAGGACATCCACTAACCATGGGCTCAGGCACTGCGAACGGAGAGTCCCAGAAGACCAACTGGACCATCGGATTGATCAACGCTCACCTCGGCAAGTATCTGACCGCCGAATCGTTCGGATTCAAGGTTAACTCCAACGGTGTGGCACTCAAGAAGAAACAACTCTGGAACCTCGAAGCTTTCGGTGAAGGTGAAGCCATCTGCCTCAAGAGCCACCTCGGGAGGTGAGTCCAAGCGGCTTTGCCGCGAACTGCTCTCAACTTCGAAAGGAATTCCGCTCGCTCGCTCCTGAATGTTTTCCGATGCTGTCGAGCGATTTTCTTCCGACCGACGGTTCTGTATCCCAACCCATCCTTCACTTATCCGCTCTCTTGCGCAGGTATCTTGCTGTGGATCAGTTTGGCAACGTGACCTGCGACAACGAGGAGAAGGATATCGGTGCCAAATTCACCATCAGCATGACCGGTGACTCGAAGGGACAATGGGCTCTGAAAAATGAGAACCGCGGATACTTCCTCGGCGCCAGCGGAGATCAACTCATCTGTGCCGCCAAAGCGCCCTCCAACGCTGAGCTATGGACTGTGCACCTGGCCGCTCGACCCCAGGTGAGATCCTTCGGCCGGTATCGTTCCTCGTATAGTATGGAATCTGGCGCTGAATCTCCCCGTCATCGGTTATTAGAATCCAAGTAGATCCTCGGAGGTCTCGGACAGACTCTAAGTCGACTCCGGGACCTTCCAGTATTTTCCGTTCCGATTCATTCCGATCTGATTTATTCTGGTTTTACGAAACACGAATCCAATGGAATCCGTCCATCCGTCGAACAGGTGACCTTCAAGTCTGTGGGTCGACGCCGTTTCGCGAGATTGTCCGAAGCTCAGGACGAAATCCAAGTGGACGCCACCACGCCATGGGGCGAGAACACTCTCTTCACACTGGAGTTCCGCGATGGAAGGTACGCCGTGCACACTGGGAACAACAAGTACCTTTCACCCGACGGTAAGCTCCTCGATCGCTGCGAGTCCTGCTGCCTGTTCTCGATCGAGTTCCATGGGGGATACCTCGCTCTCAAGGACAGCGACATGAACTACCTATCGCCAATCGGCAGCAAGGCTGTAATCCGTTCGAGGAGCAACGCCGTCACGCGAGATGAACTCTTCTCTCTTGAAGACTCGGTGCCTCAGGTAAAGAATGGTTTCGCCTCTGATTGGGCTTTCGCCCCGCCTCCGGTTGTCGAATTATCGAGACAGAAATTTTGATTTCCGATTGGGTCGCGACCCAATGCATTCCTCCTCATGGTCCTTCCGTTTCAGGCCTCTTTCGTGGCGGCGCTCAATGGCAAATTCGTCTCAGTGAAGCAAGGCGTTGACCTCACGGCCAACCAGGATGAGATTTCGGATCACGAGACCTACCAGCTGGAGTTCGATAAGGCCACCAGCCGCTGGCTAATCAGGACCATGCAAGATAAATATTGGACTCTTGAGCCAACCGGCGGGATTCAGGCCAGTGGAGAAAAAGCCAGCAGCAACTCGTTGTTCCAACTCAACTGGCAGTCGGACGGGAGCGTCAGCTTCACCGCAAATAACGGAAAGTATCTCGCCATCAAGAAATCTGGACATCTTTACGCCAACGCCGACAGCGCTTCAGACGAGAATACGAAGTTCTACTTCTTCCTTATCAGCAGGTGCGTTAGAATTCGGCTGAGGGCTGAGGGTGGCGCTTTCGCCGGGATACTCCAGAAGTATGCCAGACCTTCCGTCAGGTGAATTGCTCCGATTGATACGCTTTTCTTGTTTTTCATTTCGCTCCCGAAGGCCGATGCTTGTGCTGAAGTGTGATCAAGGCTTCGTGGGCTTCAAAAGCTCCGCCAGCGCCAAGCTCGAATGCAATAAGGGTACATACGAAACCATTATGGTGGAACGTGGCGAGAGAGGTGTCGTCTACTTCAAAGGTGAGTACCACTGTCTCCGGGAAACCCGATCATCTGTCCATCTTTTCGGTGCCTTGTGGGCAAATCTATCTCTTGTATGCTCGATGACGAATCAAAGAACTCAATGGGTACCATTCCTTCCACCCAGGCTCAAACGGCTCATATTGGAACGTTGCTGACGACGGAACAATCACCGTCGACTCCGAAGTCCGAGGGGAAGGATTTACGTTCGAACTCCGAGAACCTTCTCGACTGGGGATCAAAGTCGCGTCCACTGGATGTTTCCTGAATGCGGATAAGAACGGTCTCTTCAGAATCGGGGGCCCTGAACCGAACAAGGCCACGATGTGGGAGTACTGAATTGAGAAATCAGGAAGATGATGATGATGATCTGGTCGACGCATACTCACCTAGTGCCGTATTCGAGCCATTCGTGGACACCTGTCTCTTGGAATTTGAACGTGAAATTCTCATAAGAGCCTCTCTTCCATCGAAGCCTCAAAACATATCAAAATATTTTCTTCAGCATTTGTTTTCTGTGGATATTCTGACTGTGGTCCAGTCATTTCGTTCCGGTAGACTTCACGGCCCTCCTGGTTGAGGGCTTCTGTTGTCGTCACCCTACCGCAATTATTAATACAGAACATGCGTTCACTTACATAGATACAAACATGCATGCATACGAGGAGGAAAATCAGTGTGACTGTTTCCTGTTCCGCCGCACGGTGAGGACAGTGAAAATTCGCAGACTCGGGGATGTCCTTTGAGTTCGTAGCACAGCGATATTCTCACGTTGCTCAAGTATAAAGCGAAAAGTTCTCGCTATGTCAATCAAGAGATTCGGTCCGACGAGATGAGGGGAGGACGCCCGACGGCGTCGCGAGTCGGAAAGAAGTGACATCGATTCGTCCCAAAGGCTTGACTGATTAATCAAAATAGAATCCGACGAATATGTAGGGGTTGATCCCGATGAGTATTGCAATGTGTTGTTTTGCCACTTGAGTTCCCTCTCTCTCCGTTTCTCATTTCTTCAATCCCGAAACCAAAACCCATTGTATATAATTTAAGTTGTGAAACCCCAGCGATGGACGAAGTGAATGACATTTCATCGATGAACTCATAAGGATTCTGTGACTCCGATCCGCATCGACTCACGCTGGAGAGATACTACGCTTCAATATACAATACGTGAAGTAGCGAACTTGTAGACAATAAACATACGATGTATGTCTTGAGCAAGATTAGAGTTTGTTCCCCGTAGATAACCTCCGCACCGATGAATACAGCTACTGCACCGCGCAGCATTGATCGAGCGTCGGTTCCCCATGGACTAGGGAAATCAATTATCCGACAGGAAAGGCTCCGGAAAAATCCTGAATAATTGATAATGATTCGATTTTCACATGAAGGAGGCTCCGATCCTCCTTCCCGAACTATGGGTCTCCCTGAGATCGCACTGACTCGGCTCCACACTCGCTCCCACTCGATTATCTGGAAGAGGGAGAGTTGACAGGACCTTGCTCGCACACAGCGCCGGGAAACCGGGCGTGTGTGGGATTTCGATCCCGTCTGTCTGGAAACCGGCATGAGGATCCCCCATTTTGACGAACGGCTTTTTTCCTGAATCGGTAGAGTTGCCCGCCACACGATCGAAATGATCTGTTTCGTATTATTCCTGATCGTTCCGATAGCCCTCTTATTGTGGTATAAACGCGCCGATGCGGATCTCACGCTGCTCTGGAAGCATTTCTCTGGTCAGGACGAGCTTTCAAAATACAAAGGTGAGCCCCCCGCTGCGAAACCCGTGAGACTTGAATCAATCACAATATTTCTTCTGGGAGAAATTCACCGTTCCATACCAATATCGGATCCAAGCGCGGATGGTGTGCGCGGGTCAGCATTAAGGTTTGAGCTCGTTGAGAGCGCATCCGCTTCAGCCAAATTTTTACGCAACAAGAGTTGATCTATCTCTTCAACAGATCAAGTGGTGTGGATAACGGGCGCCTCATCCGGTATCGGTGAAGAAATCGCCTATAGTTTTGCGTCCCTGGGTGCGAGATTAATCCTGAGCGGAACGAGAATTGAAGCTTTAATGAAAGTTCAGGAGCGATGTTTGGACAAAGGCTCCCCGAAAGCTATCTGCGTGCCGTTTGATGTAGCGGAGCATTGGAGCCACGAGGAACTGCACAATCAAATCATAGCTGAGTTCGGTGAGGTCTCGTTCACACGACGGACTCTGATTTCGCCCCCGGTCCCGGCCTGAGTTCAGCTAAAACCTTCATGAATGCTCCATTACTAACATGATTATTGCGGGGAACTCATCAATCGCTTCCAGGTGAAATCAATCTACTTGTGAACAACGCAGGCCGGTTGCAACGATCCGAGTTCACAGCGACGAATGTTGATGCGGAAAAAGAGCTCTTCAATGTCAACGTCTTTGGCATCATCTCACTATGTCGCGTGACAGTCAGACACTGGTGAGATTCCCCTAAAAATTGAATCAACGTAGGATGTTCAATCTCACAACGATAATTGAAAGCGGAGGCTTGTCTGCCTTTCGTTGAACTAAATGATAACACTCATCCTCCGAGTCAACCTCGATTGCGAGTCGGTTCTGTACGAATTTTTTTTCCATGGCTTCCAGGCTCAGAACGGGTCAGGCTAATGCTCAATTATACGTCACTTCGAGCGCTGCGGGTAAAATGGGGTCACCGTTCAGCTCGAGTTATGCGGGCTCTAAGCACGCTCTACATGGGTACCTGGAAACACTTCGCGACGAGCTCAGCTGTAGCGGATCGGATATTCGGATAACAATCGCCAATCCGGGACCAGTCCGATCCAACCTTCGAGCAAACGCGCTCACGGATAAGGTGGGTCCGATCCTTCCGACTCTCCTTCGTGTCGATCGGAAGCCGCTTCCGAGCTCGCTGTTGCATCCGCGTATGAAGTGCCTGACTGATCCGAAGATGAGACAGATAATTGATAATAGTTTCTAATTCTTTCATGTTCCAGATCGGTAAGAAGTACAATCGTGACGATTCGACGAGTCAACGGAAACTGATGGAAACCAAACGTTGCGCGGAACTCATCGTGTCCGGGATCGCCCATGGTCTGGATGAGCTTTGGATTGCGGATCAACCCCTATTACTTCTTTTCTACGTCTACCAGTATTTCCCGAGCATTTTCCGTCGGTACCTCATCAACTACGTTATGACCAAGAAACAAATCGAAAAGTTCCGGAAAGGAGAATAGTTTTTGTTGATTTTTTGTATGGCTGGTTGAGATTTGATATAACTTGAATGCACTCAGAGTTTAGCGGTTTCTGAAGATGAGCTTTTTTCTACATTTAGAGATCAAAATAAAAAAACATCGAACACTATTTTCTGCTGAGCCCAAAGGCTCCCGCTAACGACGCGTTTTCTGTGGCTGCGCGAGATCTGTCGAAGGTTCGTGTCTCGAACTGTCGGAGGACCAGAGGAATTGACCGATAACTCATCGAGCTTGATTGTGTAGCACCGAGTTGATCCGACGGACTAGTTGAGGTAGATCAAGACTGATTCATGATTTCTCCGCGATTCGCACGCGTTCTTGCTCAGTAGCTACGAGCGGATCGATACCTAGCCATTCCATCTCTCTCCTCCCCAGCCAAGCACCTGTGCTGTTTTTTCCGAGCTGCTCCTGTCGTCCTGAGCACACGACAGCCAAACGGTCGCTCGATCGGCGGAACGACTTGGAGGTTGACCAGTTGGTCAGACGCACAGACGGAGAGGCCTTCGGGTTGACCGGCCCGCGGGCCGCTCGGCCTGCGCTATAGAGGTTCTCGCTGCTGCGGCGCCTTCTGCCTCGGGAGCATTACAGGGCCAATGATTTTCGATCGAATTTTTTTAAGCCTCGGTCATGATATGCTACTTGCTCTTGGTCTCTCAGTCTTTCGATAGTTGTCTCTCGAGTTCTCTCTCTCTCTTCGCCTGTTGTACACGGGTCAAACACGAGCTGGCCCTGTCCGGTTCTCAAAATTGGTCTGTAAGGTTTCCATTAGTGAAACTGCTTGTTACTATCTCATTGCGGCTCGATACGAAAAGCTCCAGAGTGTTGGTCCCTATGTCCTCTGATGTTGACGGTGAACTTCATGTGCGAACCTACCTAAGTGGGATTCGTGCGGCAATTTCTTTCCCCAAAGGTCGCCGGACTCGTAACGTCCGTTTATGGAGCTTGTTTGAGACCGTATGGTGAAACGACGCGAGCTCGAACAAAGAGTCGAAATAGGGGAAGGTAAGGTCCGAGAACCGTTCCGTGCCAGAATCCCCTGATTAGCAAGAAGCAAGCCATTGTGATCGGGATTATTGTAGCCCACCCAGTGTGTCACAATGCTCGCTGAATAGATCGAGCGGTCGTCACAAACGGATGCTGGTCGGCCGAAGGCGTGCAGATTTTTCCCCCCTGAGAGCGTAGATCTCTATGCACGTCGCGTGAACGAGTGAACTACACAAAAGAATACGGGTGGTCTCTGTCTTCATGGAGGAACAAAAAAAGGAGTGGTGGCTGCCGCGGCCGACACGCCGCAGTCAGTGACACCGACACACGATATGTCACTACTTGTGGTGGCGATTTTTAGATATGTCCGACGAGTGATCGGACCGAGGAATCCTCGGAGCGACTGGGGAAAAACTCCCAATTTGACGGGAACATCGACAGACTGGACGTCGCAGATGTCGCGGAACGTCGTCGGTTATGTCACAAAAACGAAGGGTCGACGGCAAGTGACTGCGTGCAGGCGAGCGTGCTTGGGTGCATAACTCACGAGCAAAACGTCAAAATCAAAACATGTGAATTATTGTACATGCATGCAGCTTGTCAAAATGTTTCTACGTGATCGGCTTCCACGCTTCTCGTTGGCCACCCGACATTCGAGATTTGATCGAAGCTTTCGACTGAGGTCGCTCCAAGCATGGAACTAGTGCTCGTAAACCAACCCTCGGGAGACTTCTGGTATTACTCGTGACGAATTTCCGTTGGCATGGATCTTGGTTGCGCCGGATCAGAGGTCGAACTCGGTCGCACTCCGAGATATCGGAACTTTAACTTTCTCCCGAACTCCGATACTCCGCTCTCGTCGGGATCGGCTGCGCACAGATTGTGACGAACAATAGAAGCGGAGCCGTATCGTAGAGATGTGATTGAAAAAGGCATGAAACCCCACGACACCGCAAGCATCCCTGATGATTCCCCACAGCTCGTCGGAGAATCCTCGCGGAGGCGGTACCATTAGGAGGGAGACAAAATACATAGAACCGTCTCGCGAACGACCGGGCGAATGAACGAACGACCGAGCCGAAGTGCTTTTCTCCCCGTTTGACTCCGAGCTCGGATTCGTGTTCCGAGGAAACAGGTACCAATGGAGTCCGCGAGGATAGTTGACGGAGAACAACGCAAATCTGAGTCAGGGTATGACAAATGTGACAGCCCGCCACGCCTTACCTCATCCCTCATGAGCGTCGTAATGTATGTTCCCTCCTTCGTACCTTTCTGTTTCCTGTGTTGTCGCTCTCGCGTCGCTGACTGGCGGCTTGTCTCTAACGATATGCGCTTGGGATGGAGCGGGTTCTGCGGTAACGGCGAACCATCCCGAAGGGCAGCCGCGAAATCGGACGGGCAGCGAACGGGACTTCTGATGAACCAAAGCAGCACCATTAGACGAGGGAGAAGGAACCTGAGCGAAGATCTTCATCATCATCATCTTGCCTTGAATATCAGATTCGGAGCGTCGAGCAAGCGGAACACGATCTCCCGCAATGCCGCGTTAGAGCACCAAGAGTTCAGCTTGGCATGAGCTTGTTTTCCCCGCGAATTCGGACGACTCCGCGTTTGACAGACATTTAGGGCTTCTGTCCTTCCTGCTACGAACAAAGCCAGTCGAGGCTGCTGCGGGACTCTCTCCAGAAGTCGGGAAAACGGTGCAGACTCCATACACTGCCCTTCCTCGCCGCCAAAATTCGCAGAATGATTTCCTTGGAATTCAGCGAATTTTCTGCGGCACTTACGTCTAGCTCCGGGCCGAACACGACCTTTCGGAATTTCGACGCGCTAGACCCCCAGAAAGTTTGGCCGGACTTCCGTGTCCTCAGCCACGGAAAAACTATCCTCACTGGAAATAATGATGAGCCGACACATTGCCGACACGATCACGTCAGGCTATGGATTTGGGCAGAGTGGTACTAAATATCCGTTAGGTTCTCATTGGGATGATCCATGACGTTTTGGATCCGCAGCCCGAACCCAGACCGCTAGGCGCTCACTCAGGCGACTTCTTCCATGTCTGCGATGGAATTTGGCGACTCTCTGGTGTTCCTAGCGAGAGCCATAGATTGCGTCGTGGGTCGAGTTTGGCGTATTCCTACGCCAGGCTGTCACGGAGTGATTACTCGGATAGTATAGATTCTAGATTCACCAGTGGAATCATGACGCGCCGCGTTTCGGGGAGAACGCATGCGGATCATGGGGGCCCTCTTCCGTAAATGCGGGGTGAAGGGGAGATCGCTCCCAGAATATCGTTCGTTCCAGGAACCTCAACAGGGACGATGAGCTCTCAGTCAAGGCATCCCATTCTCTTCGGTTCGCTCATTGGAAACAAGTTTGTGCGGGGTCGCTCAATAGATCATTCCGGGACTGCTCGAATTGGCACGGCCGCGCCAATCGCATTCCGTGCGGTCCCGAGGAGGCTATTGACATCGCTCCAGAGATCTTCGACACGAAACCAGCGCGAATTACACGATAGGCATGAATTGTCCAGCACCGATGAGCTCACAAGATTTCCAATGGCCTCCCTGCCAAAAGGTGAGCAAGTGGGACTGCACGGAAATCTCGGAGATCGAACCCAAGCGCCCCAGCGGAACGTACGCGAAACCCGCCGATAGCAAGCACAGTGAATTCGACGTCTGGTGATCTGGGGCTATGATATTAGAAGATCGTATGAGCGTTCTCGCCTGTCCGACTTCTTATCACGGCCAGTCCGGAGTGGAAGCCCCTTGAGCTATACAACTGCCCACGTGACGGTTCCCATAGTGAACTTCGAAGAGGAACTCACTCGGCATATGATTATCAAGAGGGAGCGACATTCTGGAGCGAATGCAATCAAAGTCATTACGCCCCAGAAACCCTGTTCGACTCTCCGCCGAGAAAGGTTCATTGACTTGAATGAGCAGGGTTCCCCCTTGCCGCTGGAAAGCCTCGCAAGGGCCGGCGAAGGGACCGACATCGTGCGGGAAAATCGACGGCCCGGGAAATCGAAGAACAGCGAAGAATGTGGAGATAGAATTATTCGTGATAATAGCGTCGGGGTATTCACGTGATACATCCATTCTACTCCACATCGCATTGCACATTGTACTTCCTGCTCGGAGTGATCACCTTGGAATATACGGATAACACATGATGGGGAGGGTTTTAGAGGAGTCGATGCGACATCGGACTTCATTCAGTTTTCGCTCCGAGCTCGCTTCATAGACTTGGAATAGGCAGAAATTCATCGCAAGTCAGAAAATCGGAGAGGCCAAACTACTTCTCTCCACGCGGATTACTCAGTCTCCCATGGAGACCGACTACATGGTATCCTGGAAATCGCTACACGAATCGGCGCTCGATGCCAGCAACGAGCAGTCGAACGAATTTCTTTCTTGATAGAGCCAAGTTCAAAGGAAGCTTCTGTTTGGCCAAAAAAGAAGAAGAATAGCCCCAAAAATGCTGTAGACCCACGTGTACGGCTTCCCGGCCCCCACTCATCCATGCCTGAGCCGACACGGAGACCGAAGTACGTGAAATGTAGCGGATATTGAAATTCGGGGAAGCGTGACCAATGAGCGTGACGATGACTTTCCACGGCTTCTCCTGACGGAGCTCAGTCAGACGGCAAGCGTGTTTCAGGCCCCCCCTCAATGTCCATCCACGCGCCCTTCGCGAGGCTGCACGATCGCTCCGGACACATAGTGCTTGAGAATCTTCAAGCCTATATTCCACGAGCCTCGAAAGGAGAGTTTCAGGAGTTGAGTGAGTGAGTTGGGCTGTCCAGCTAGCCAGCCGCCTGTTTGCCTGCCAAACACCCTGCCGCTTGGAGTCTGCGCGAGCTGACGTCACGAGGCGGAGCTTGAGCGAGGTGCCGCCTCCGGACTGTTACTTCAGTGGAGTCGTAGCCTCAGCTCGGGTTAGAACCGCGAGAGCTCGTTAGCAATGCAGACACATTCGAGTGTTCTCCCTTCTAGATTAAATCGCCTACTACGACCGCAACGCGCCTAGTTTTTCTTCTCCTCTGAACGAGCGTCGGGATCCACCATCAATCGGTGTCGAGGAGACCACCACGGTTTCTTCAGAGCCGGCCCTGAAGGTCTCGAACGCGGAATCGACGGGGGCTGACTCGTGAATATTCGCTCATCATGCAGTAGTTTGAAATCGAACGTTGAGGCAAGAAAAAACACGAGATCTTCCGGTGAAAGCGGAACAGAAACTCCTGGAACGATAGACATTCGGTCAAGCTTGCGAGTTCGTCCGGGTTGCAAGCTGACAGCCGCAAGTGCGGAGGCAATGGTGAAGTGACTTGTGACGACATCGTGTTTTTACACACAACTTAGAAAATCTGTACGATCTACGAAACTAGTACACCGTGAAACGCTGAGGACGTGGTGAGTGGAGACGCTCTCGGTTGACGGAAACGGAGCATCAGCAGCAGTGAGCAGCATCGGCAGCTGGGGACGAGAGCGTAAAAGTTGTACTTCGACACGACGAGTCCAGCGAGATGCAGCAAGCCGTTCAGAAGTCTATGGTAGGCCTCGGTGTTGGCGTCGTAGGGGCTGTACCGCAGACCTCGGGAGCGCCGTGTTTCTCATCTGGCAGATACTCGCCCACATACAGAAGTACTCCTACACTCGATCCCATGAGAGCCCGTCACTGCATGAACAACACACCGGTGAGTACTCTGCGTCTTGCTCACACTGCGGGTACGATAGTCGGGCGAGCACCTGATTGCGATCTCGATTACTCAAGCTCGGAGGTCATGACAGTGTCGACGAGAAAAACGGTCCCGTCTCGGACGATTCCGTCACATTGTCGCAAGGGTCCGAGCGGGGGTCCGGAAGGAGCAGAGCGAAATTGACGGATCACTCCGCTCTTTCGGGTTCTTGAGCGACAACTTTGGCGCCAATATTCATTCGATGCCGATCGGAACTCCAAGTTCGAGTCCCACGATAAATTACCCGAATCGCTTTTCTCCATACGGTAAAGATAAACTAAAAAATTCGGTCAATCGCTCGCGACGACTCGATGCGATCCCCGGTCGTGTTTGGGCCAGCGTTGTATCAACCGTACGCAAGCGAGAGAATCCCGCGGAAAATCAGAATGTTGCAGACGAAGTTCTGAAAAAATCTGGAATCGTTGAGAATCCGTCACAGCGGGACTTTGCGAGAGGCTTGATCGGGAATATTCTGGGGATGCGATATCGGGGGAATTGGTGCGGTGTCCCCGCGAGTCCACCAAGGAATTCCGAATCTCTACCGGAATGCCGTGAGGCTCAAGAAAATTCGGCTAAATGCACAAAAATCGCCCATGTCCTGAGAGTCGGTATGCTCCGTATAGCGCCCGGAATACCTACCTCGAAACCTAGCTCATGATTTGAAGCTAGAACTCATCCAGAAAAGTTATCTGCATCTCGGATCTCGGTGTACAGAGCGACCTTATTTCGGTCTCTCGATATCTCTCCATCGAGTTCTTTGGGGACTCCGAGTGGCCTACACCACGGTACTTATCGTGAGGAGAGATCCGTGTGACGCGCCGCGTTTATCTTCGTAAGGGGATCGCGACTGAGTCCGGGAAGGGTGCTCCGATCGATTCCTAGTGCGGACTGTATCGATTCGTCTGTCATTTCAGTCCCTATCTATTTCCCCGCAAGTTTCCCTCATTTCCGAACGAAGGTGTCATCGGCTCTCTGAATGCACAGAGATGAGTAATGCTGGAGTTTTTTGCTAGTCTAGGGACCTAAGCATCCTTGGCGTGATGAATAATTGAGTACTCCACGCAGCGATTCCTCAAGTACTCCCGACCAGAAATTGTGAACACCAATACCCGACATGAATCCCCATTGAATTAAAAAAATTCCATCGAATCGATCCCCTCTCGATCTGAAGTTTATTTCGTCTAATCGAGAGAGACTTGACGGATGGAGAAAAATGCGAAGCGTCCGATGGAAACAAAATTCAAGAGTCACCTCTATCTGTCGTCCGAAACTGTCGAATAGGCTTCGGAAGTCCTCGGAGTCGAGGCTGGTCTTCTATGGTCTCTTTCATTCTCTGTCTTTTCCCTTCCATCCGAGGGAGCACCACTCGATGCGGTGGTCCATTCCCCCTCCCGATTGGTGGGTCACGTTCGAAGCAACGATCACATCACGAATGAGCTCTTTCTGAAGCGACAGCCGAGCTCAGTTCCTGAGACACTCGTACCACTCCCCGCTAATTCGAGGAATCTTCCCGAGCGCAATAGTTTCTGAATCTTCTCGGCGAACCTGCTCTCGGCCAGTTTTCTCGTTTTTCTACGACAGCTCTGCTCAGCAGCCTCATTCCAAGTGATTATCTTTCACAGACGAAGGAGTGGATTCCGGGGGATCGGTTTTGCTCCGAATAATTTCTCGAGTCCTTCGATTTTCCCGAACAGCTTTTCTACATGCGAGTCTCGCTTCCCCACGAATGGAGGCTCTCCACTGACTATAATCCACGATCATTGATCGACTCTGGTTACTTTTTATCGAGCAGCCGTTTCTTTCAAGCGCGTGTTAGAGCAGAGTTTATCTCGCGCAAGGAGGTTCATCTCGCGTGAAAGGGCGCTTCAAAGTTCTCACGGTGATTCTCTGGCCGCGTGCATTCAGCCTGGAATCTCACAGAATCAACTACTCGTGCAACGACCACGATAGAAGCCGGTAGCGAGAGCGGAAGTCGAATACAGCCGTTCCCCGATCCTACGAGGAATCGCAAGTACGTCTCGGCAGACAAAAACATACGTACGAAACGGGCGATCGAGGGGAAGCGGCGTGCGCCGGACCGGGAGAAAGTACACCGGGAAGTGCGTGCATTACACTGCAATTATGGGACTTGCACTCGTCGACAAAGACGTTCAGCAGTTAGTGTAAAGCTTATGGCTCCTCAGGGTGCACTAGCTGAGTGCGTGTGGCATGTTGAACAGACTTTCGTTCGGTCTCTCTCTTCCTCTTCTCGTTAACCTCCGACCTCTTCGTTCTCCTTCTATCGCGAACGAACAAGTAGATAAGCGCTCTGCGAAGAAAATAAAACCCAACGTCGAGTGGTTCCTCCCCAGTCACTTGTTCCTCAAAATCCCGTCGAGGCTGAGCAATCGTGGAACATGGATACGAGCCAGAGACGCAAATGAGTTTGCGCCGATCCAGCTCGGAATCGTACACGGCTCTGGCGCAGGTTCCGGCGGGATGAAGACGACTTTTGAGAGGGCTGACGGATCCAGAATCGGCCGCGGAATGTCGAAAACGTGAGAGAGATTTCCTCGGTATCGGCGGGAATTCCGTCGTCAATGTCCGAATTATACACGATTCTGTGTCGGCTCGGGAAATGGCAACAGGCAGCATTCCTCGACTGTCTCTTCTGTCGCTCAGCATTCAGAAGGCTCGTAGAAAACTGCGCCCGCAAGCACGAAGCTTAACTTATAGATGTTGGAAAATTCCTGGTGTAGCGTCGTGGTCGTGGAGAACGATCTCGCCGATCCTGTCGACAGACCGCCCCGTCTCTACGGAATGCCCCGAGGACGATTAGATGCAACGATATCTCGTGATTGGAGGATCTCGAGATATCGTTGCAGATATCGCGAGCACGGCTGACTGAGTGCCGAGTCGGAGCTTCGGTGCGTAAATTTCATTCCCAGCCCTAAACTGGCTTGGGCGGCATCAAGTTCACCAAGAATCGATGAGACGGACATTGCAATGATGCTGACGATGGGAGCTCATGACAACGAGATGCGACTTCCCGCTTGAGACTCGATATTTCCATGCGAGCGCTGAGATCAAGCAGAGGTCCAAGATCAGCGAAATCATCGCGTGAAGTCAGCACGCGGGAATTCAGTTACGCTTGAGACGGATTCCCGGAGTCTGTCCAGTTCAGTGATCCTCGACCGGAGAACTAGTGCACCGCTCGAGGTTTCCCCCGACGATCTCCCCGAATTCGACCGAAATACCGGAGTTCGATGCCAACTCGATGATCAGTCGGAATGGGAAGACGGCCTGGTTTCCTGCTTGCCCCAATAGGCTGAACCTAGGACGATACAGTCGAAGACCGGGCCCGCTTTTGAGGACAGACTGAGCAACATTCCCGGATTTCGGTACCGATCATTTCGGACGTTGATAACATGACAATAACAAGTTTGGTCATCGCAGCCTGTCAGTGATCTTGACAATTGTCTCCGAGAAGAGGTCGTAGAAGGAATCGGTCATTGGGGGTCATGATCAGTCTTGTGCAGTCTCCGTCATCATCCTCTCTACATTCCCCCCGATCATCCATGTTCCACGGACTTTCACGGAGCGAGTCCCCGTCGCGACGTGTGTTTGCTCCCTGAGCGTCCGAATTGGAGGTCGCTGAAGCCGACACACAGAATGCGGTGAGATAAGTAATCGAGCGGGCGGACTGTCGGACATCGGGGAAAGAGGAAGCTCCGCTTTCCAACAAACACCCATTGATCTAGTTGTAGAAGACGTCAGCCGCAGCAAGAGAACCACCACTGGCAGCAGTGGCCTAAGCGGCGGGCGGTTGATGTTCAGCGGCAGCAGCGGCGATGGGGCATTGGAAAGCTCACCAGGGGTCGCTGGGAGCCTCGGATAACGGCGGGCTGCTGGCCCGCTTGTGCCCCGGCAGGGGCGAGTGAGTGAGGGAACGTCGGGCGGGCGGCTGATCGGGTGGACTCAGCTGCCGTGGATGGCAGCGAGCGAGGGCGGGTGTGGAAGGCAAAGAGGGACTTCAGATGGAGAAGGGCCGATGTCGGACGGGCAGGCAGGCAGGCGGGAAGGCACCTCGCTGCTGCCGCCGCCGCTTCCCCCCTCGGAGCTGGGGGAACGAACTGACAGACGTACGGATAGACGGGCGGGCAGGCGGGCGAGCGAGCGAACGGACGGGCGGGCGGGAAAACAACGAGGGGCTAGAAGAGGAGGGGGCAAGGAGAGAGGGGCGCTTAGTGCATAATTCACAAGCCGAGCCAAGAGAAGCTCCGATGCTCCGACGCCGCTGGCTGCTTGCCGTCATCCAAGTTGAACTGACTGCCTAGCTGACTGGCTTTCAGCTGGCTGGCTGGTCGGCTGGTTGTTTGGTCGGTACGTCTGTCTGTCGGACGGTCGCTCGGATCGCCGGCTGGTAAGCTCAATACAGCTGGCTGGCTGGCTTCCTTCTGCCCACATCCCCGGCACCAGGGGCGACCGTAGACTTGGAATGCAGTCGGACAGGCAAACTCAATAGTAGGGGTACGGGGAGAGGGTCTTGTTGAGTTGTTCGGGCACGCGGCCGGATAGGGGGACGCAAGGGGAGGGGGCGTTCGGTCGAGCTGGCAGACGGTTTCGTCGTTCTTTCGTTTGTTCGTACGTGAAGGGCATCTCGAGTGGCGTTTCGCCAGACTGCCAGTCAAGCAAGACGACCGACGACAGGTAGGAGAAGAGGAAAAAAGGAGCAAACCGAGAGGCACCAATCAGGAACTCACGAGAAACATTCGTCGCCTCGCTCCACTCCTGCGCTACTCGTCAGTCCGACCAACTTCCATTGGAAGACCTACGGAGTGCTCCCGTTGTGGGTCCGTCGTCGGGGAGCACGGTCTCGATGGGGGAGGTCAGAAACCGACTTCGATACGGGTCCATGGACGGGGAAACGTTCCACGGTTCCTCTGGGGTTCGGCGCCGTTTCATTACGTGGCGTATTC